CTGACGGCCCGATTCTCATCGTGTCTGTTCACAGGGCTCAAGGCAAAGGGCTCGGCTGAGGGCTGAGGGCTGAGCGCTGAGGGCTTCCGGGGTGGCCCTGCTGTGACGCCTGGGCCGGACCAAGCGGCTGCGGGGTTGGTAGCCCAGGAAGCTCACCAGCAGACAGCTAGGGTTGCCCCAGCACCAGGTGCGAGCCCCGGGCGTCTGAGGCCCGATCTGCTGTCCCCGAGATGTGTGTCTGCTCTGCTCTGGGGGACCTCTGTGTCGGTCCCCGTTTACCACCCTGGGTGGCGAGTCTCCGGCCTGGGTGTCCTCACACCTACGCCACACCTCCTGGCCCTGCAGGGACTCAGAGGCACCACCGCACCCCACGCAGGGGTGGGAGACTGAGGCCAGTGCTGCCTTCTGGCCCCCAGCCCCAGCTCTCCTCAGCACAGGCCCCGGCATGGGAGCTAGAGCCTCGTGAGCCCGCCCTCCACTGCGCTCAGATCTGCGCCTGCCCTGGGTGCGAGGCCTGCTGTTGTCTCCATGCCAGGGGCTGGAGCGGAGGGAACGAGCGGGCGCGCAGTGGCGGGGGGGGGGCCCTCACAGGGCATGCCGTTCGGCCGTTACACTCGCTCTGAGGTCCACACAAGTCAGGTCACTTCACGGGGGCAACTGGGTTGGGGCCTCTTAAAACCGCTGTGAAACCGTGCAGCCACGGCACTGTCTCAGCTACAGACGGTGCTCTGCTTTCCACCGGGAACTGCGTCCAGAGCGTGGCGTTCCCATCCCACGGGGGGGAGGGGGGCGCAATTTCAGGCACAAGAATGTCCCCTCCATCTTCATGTGACATGCTACTGTCTCCTGGGGTGCCTCTGCCCAGGGTTCCCCATGGAGCAGCTGGGCATGCTGCTCTGGGTGCTGCAGGAGCAGGAGGCCAGCCTGGGCACAGGGGCCAGGAGGCCAAGAGTCGCTGGAGGCCCTGCAGCAGGTGACGGCCCCAGGGGCAGTACCAGCATCCCTTTATCTACTCAGCCCCGTGGCAGATGGTGAGGCCTAGGGAGAGCTGGAGGCATGCATGCACACCTGTAGGGACCAAGACCATCCGGCCCCAGCTGCACAGGGGCACGGGCTGGAGGGCCCACAGGGTCAGGGACTGCTCTGGCTCTGCAGCGAGCGGCCCTGCACAGAGGGGTCAGTGCAGCCGCAGTTTAGAAGAGCAGTGAAAAGCAAGCGGGGCTGGCCTCAGACGCATTGCCCAGCCCTCAGAAGCCTTGGTGGAGCCTCGCCCCACGCCCACATGTCTGCAGTGCTCTGACGGGGAGCAGCGTGGAGCCGAGGGCAGCCCTGCACACCCAGTGGGCCGTCCGCAAGGGAGCTCGCTGCACTGCACACCTGGCACGGGCCCCCTGCTGGCTGGGCCGCACAGGGTGCAGGTCCTGGGGGCTAGGGGAGCTGCGAGGAGCGGGCGTTCCCGCCAGGCTCCAGATAGATGGCAGGACAAGTCCACACCCGCCAGTGGGACGCCATCAAGCCCAGGGTCAGCGTTGGCCCCTGTGGCCACCACAGCCCCCAGGTGCCACCAAGCGCTCTACCTCTCCTCTCTGGGGAGGCCTGCAGGCCATGGCAAACCCGCGGCGTGATCACAGCACAGTGCTGGGGCTCTGGCCCACCTGCCCTGGAGCCTCGCCCTGGGCCTAGTGGGCGAGGCAGACGGATTGTGCAGATGGGCACTGGTGGGATGGGGGCTCTTCAGCTGGCCGCCTGGCCCTCGGAGCTCTCGGCCCATAACCATGGATCCCTGGGTCTGTTGGGGCAGTCGGCCACCCAAAGAGAGCCCAGGAGAAGCTCACATTGTCTCCCGGCCCAGCTCCCACCTTGGGCTGGGTGCAAGGCCAAGTCCCCTACTCAGAGGTCAGCACAGCTGGACAACTGTCCAGGGCTGGGATGGGGCAGAAAGAGGGGCGAGAGGCTGGGACAGGGCCTGCCCAGGCCCCATCACGGGCCAGGGGTTCTGGCAGCTGGGCCCCATGCCTTGGCGTGGGTGGACCCACGCTTGTCCTTGGACGGCTATTTGGGATGAAATCTGAGGTGACGGAAAATGAGGCTTGAAGAGAGAAGAGGGCCAGGCAGAACCTCTCCAGGGCTCCTACCCGAAACACCCCGCCTCGCGTCACCCCAGTGGTGGCTCTGGTATCCTCCACGTGACATACACCCACGCACACCCACACGGGTGGTGGCGAGCAGGCTTTCGAAGGCAGAGTGGGCACGTGCTCTGGGCCTTACACCTGCGCGCTCTGGGGCCCTCCCCCACCAGGCACCACATGCCCTGCCCGCAGTGAGGACCCGACGTCCGTCCTGTAGCTCTGTCGGGGCCTTGAGAGGGTGGCGTGAGGCTCACAGACCAGGTGGGCGTTGTGGCCCCTTCTGCGAGGCCCGGGTGTGAGGTGGGGAGAGTGGGGGCCAAAGGCCTGGGTCCCTGCCCTCAGCCAAGCCCCATCTGGAGGGGCCATCCCCTGATCAGCACCCCTGGCCCTGTTGTCCACCACCCAGGCCTCTCACTGCTCCCTCGCTCCAGGCCCCTGCCATCCCCTCCCATCTGCCTGTCCCCCTGCAGTGTGGCCCTGAGGCCGGGGAGTAGTCTGGCTGGGGAGGTCCGGGTCACCCAGCTGGCTGTGGGCACAGCCTGGAAAGCCAAGCCTGCTGTCTAGCCAGCACCGGGTAAGGGTGGACGGGACTCCACCACAAGCTTCCCAGCACCTTCCCACCACCCAGGGTCCTTGCGGGTGTTCTCCATGGTCAGGGCAGGGGAGGGGTGGGAAGGCCCGGGCAGGGGGCATGGCACAACCCAAAGGCCCCAGAGCGGGAGGGGCTGCAGGGGTGGCGTCTGGGGGTGGGCCGGCACGTGGACGATGGCAGTAGTCATGCTGGCAGCCTCAGTGTCCCCACCCACAGGGGACAGCAGGGACACTCGTGCTGCGGGACCTCAGGCCTCAGAGCAAGGCAGCCCTCCAAGGGGACCCACCAGCAGGCCGCAGTCCTCAAAGCTGCCAGCCAGCTCATCCACAGAGGGCCGCCTGCCCTCCCATGAAGGACGGTCGCTGGGGTGCGGACACCAGGACCCTGCCCGCTCCCGAAGAGGGGCCCAGCCCTGAGCTGGGGCCTGGGTGGAGGCGGGGTGGGCGCAGCAGCCCAGCCGCCATGGCCTGCCCGGGCAGCGGAGCCCTGGTGGGGGAGGGAGGGAACAGCTAATGAGTTCCAGGAGGTCAGCGGTGAGGCCCGCGGCCCGTAAACCCTTCCCTGGTGTCTCAGGGGGACCCGGATGTGGCCGTTTATTTATTCTGGATTCCGCCCTTCTCTCCTCTTTATAACTTGCACTTCCAGGAGCGTAACTGGATTTTTAAAGAAACAGGACTTCCTTTCCAATCAAGGCCAATTCTCGGTTTTAAGGAATCCTTATTTCTGTAAAGTTCCAACCAGTGACCCCTGACTTACGCCTCGTCAGGGGCCCCGCAGGCCAGGCCCGCTCCTGCCGCAGGCCGAGGGCACAGGGCAGCATCCGCCGTGGGAGGGCTCTGCACGTGTGCGTGGCCCGGCAGGCAGGGGCAGTGGGGGTGACCCGGGTGCAGGCCTGTCCAACCCGCGCAGGCCCCACAAGGCCCGGAGCCCAGGCCCAAGGGAGGGGGCGTCCTGGGGCCCCACTCACAGGGGACAGTGGAAACGCACCTTGCCGCCAGGCCCCCACAGCAGCCCTCAGGCCACGCAGTGCTGCTCTAATGCTGTCTCCGGGGAGGGGGCTCGGATTCAACTCTCCCCAAAGGAGAGCACCCCCAGGGTCGGGGAGAGCCTTGCGACCTTCATATCTGCTTGCTGGTGACTGCCCCATACTTCCTGCAGCCCTGGTGCCCCTCCAGGGGCGGGTGGCTAGGAGGGGCTTGGCGGGGGGCGCCCCGGGGCGGGAGGGCTCGG